TGTTGATAGATGTGTCCATAGATCTCCTCATGTTGCTCTCAAAGTGCACCAGATTGATGCTTTTAACTTCAATATTTAAAAAAAAATCTGCCCCCGGACCCCCTACGTCTCACATGGGTAGGATACCTAAATACATTTGCACACATCTTGTGTCCTTATCTTTCTGTTTTGGTGGTCATGCCACAACCGCGCACGTGAATGCATGCGTCAAACATGAGTCATGGTAAGATATCTGGATTAAGAGATTGCTTTTTCTTTGCACAGGATGAAAGAAAGGCCAAATGAATGGGCTGTGATTTTAGTTTTTTTAAGCAGAGGTTGAGTTCAATAATTTGTACGCCCCTCGGAGGATGTTGTACAAATTTAAAGGAAAAGGGTTCCCTACCCCTGCTGTAAATAATAATAAAAACCCTTGATTTATAACTTAACATCTCTGTCTCCTATTGATCTGAGTAAATTATAAAGAACAGCCAGTTAATTGAAGGATTATAGCACAGGCCTTTGTCAGATGGTATATTACGCTGTTTTTTTTCTGCTTCGAATAGTTCTCTCTTTTTTCACCATACGTGTGTTTGCATCACTGATTTCTCCTCCTTCCCTCACTTTCTCATTCATCTAATTGCATCCGTAATCCTTGTGCCAGATTAGAGGGACGTGCAGGACCTCTGTGTGTGTGTGTGTGTGTGTGTGTGTGTGTGTGTGTGTGTGTGTGTGTGTGTGTGTGTGTGTGTGTGTGTGTGTGTGTGTGTGTGTGTGGGGGGGTCTGCATAAACGATGCATATATCTCTGTCATCATCATCAACCAAGTGGAAACCGTCAAGAACCCAATTTACTGGCGGCCCACATTTGCACGAGGAATGTGATCGGACAGCTTGTGAAGCAACCAAAGCAAACCTGAGCGTCTCCATGGTGCCACGGTGATGTCATGATTGTTGTCCAAGCTTACTTTGATTACAATTTTGATCTATCAGCTGTTGTATCTCTTGCTGACGTCGGTGATTTGGATCTGCAGCAGTTTTCCTTTGATATAAAAGCCCACCTTCATAATTCCCGCCTGCTTTCCCTTTAATTGAAGCTGGCCTGGAAGGAACCAGGTTTTTTTTGGCACATGTTCGGATCTATAAATAGCACCAGTCTGTCTTTTGTGTCTTCCCTTTTCGTTCACAGCATGCCCTGGCTGTCATGTGTTTTTTACAATGTGCATGTGCCTGGGCTTCTACAACTGTGGATTTCTGTTCAAGTTAAACATGTAGAGTGAGAAGGTCATGGGTTAAATTACTTCCTGTTTGACTCCTATTGGTCGTAAGTTGATTGTGACATTCAAATGTCTCACATTAAGGCGTTTTGTGTATTAAAAATTGAGACAGAAAGCGACTGTCAGAGGCATTATGGCTTGGCCCTTTATCTTTGTGTCTTATCGACTGCTTTCTCCTACTGTCGTCACCTTTATCTGTGTTTTTGACATATTTTCAAGAAGAAGGATGTTGGACCTTGACACAGAATTACACAGTAGCAGACAGGCGAGAAATCTGGGGTTGATGAGAGTCACACATCTGGTATCCATGGTGTCAATGTTATTACCCTTAGCTGTGATTTTTTTTTTTTATAGGACGGTTATTTCAATTTCTTCACAAAGCCCTTGATTCTTTATTACGTTCTGGTTAAAGCGGTAATCCTCTAGCACAACATACATTTTCAAACATTGAAATGTGAGAAGCTGGGCGCTAAGAGTCAACAGAAAGATTCCACTTTCCCTATACACAAACACCTGGGCTGAGAATTTCGAGCAGGTGTGTGAAGTCTCTTTTTGGGACCAAGTCTCTGACTATGATGCTTGCTAGATTTCTTGTTTTCCTCAGTTTTCTCTTGAATTGGGTTTGCTCTGAAACCCCAAAAACTATTGCTGGTTTGTTTACGTGCTTTATACAACGGCAGATTAGTGATGGCATTGGCACTTTAAGCATTAAAGCTGCCAATAACAGTGTTGTGCGTCATCGTAGTAACAAGGGCAAGTGTCACCAGCTAATGCTCCATATTTTGGGATAGCATTAACAGTTGGTTGTTCTAACACATTGTTCATGTTTTCGAGCTATGATATAATGCTGTTTGGTCATTTTCATTTCAAAACAGTTTGGAGTATAACAAAATGGTGGATTAATACGTCCATAGACTCATACTTTCTTCTCGTCATGTAGCTGCTATAAGACCGCTTCTGCTTTCACCTTCTGCTATGGTCTACTAGCTTTCTATAACAAATTGTCTGAACTGATGACACTGCAAGTTCAACAGAAGGAAGAGAGAGTCGGTCTACTCCCTCCGTCAGTAAATCAAACGTTTCACTAAACTTCACGAACTTCATTGTCTTCTTTGATCTGATTAAAGTAGACAGCCAAGTCAGTTAACACACTTGCTTACACATTGCTAAAATAACGTGGCCATATTTGACCCGTACCCCCTCCGAGAGCGGTCTGAGTCTCAATGTGTCCTGGTTGTTTTCACAACATAGCTGACCATTGTGATCACAATAGACTGATGTTAATGCCAGGTCTAAACAGGGCCGTTGTTATGTTATGCATTTGCAGCCTTTACGCTGTGATGACAGGCTGATTTAAAGGGGAACTTTGAAGATGGAAGAATTTACAGCGTCCAGGGACAGAGTATGTGAAGGGTCATGTGAGAAGCAGCGTGACGATTGTACGCGGAGAAAGGCACGTTAATCGCCTGGGAAGCGTACTAAACAGCTGCTATTTGATCGTTTTGAGTCTACAGTTGTGGTTGTTAAAGAAATACTGTTGTGCTTTTACAATACTGCAGTGCATTGTGGGAGTCCTGGAAGCTCAGTGGGCTGAGAAACACTGCATGAAATGTGGTGGGATGGATTTTCACTCCTGGCTGTGGTTAGTCACTTCCTCGCTACTGCCTTCCCCAATACTCCCCATTGTTGTAACATAACCATAATCCAACAATAATATCTCAATATTCCAAAAGTCACAATGTTTTTGAAATCTTGTGACGGCAGCTAGAGAAGACAATACATGTTAGTCTGTGTACTCCCCCCTGAAGGAGGAGGAATGTCTTTGCGCGACAAATGTCCTCCCCATGTGAACAAAGGTTCCCACTGTCCCCCCCCCGCAGCACAGCTCAAATAACAATGAAAGTAGCCAGGGCATATGTTGGTGCCACTCAAGGCCGTCTAGTTAACATTTGTGTAAAAGTCTACCTCTATAGTTATTGATTTGGTCTAACCAGTGTTGATTGCAGCCTTGCCACTGTATCCAATATAAGCGATTGTGCATAAACTTAAATCACTCTCAGTTTAAGGACATGTGGCAGCTCTCTCGGATAATGTCTGGTATCAGAGCAATAGCCTCTGCAATATCTCATTGACATTCGTTTTTACAAAATTGTTTATTTTGAAGCAACATTCCAGAATAAGGCGAGACTGCTCAGTGAACACACGTTTTTATCTTTGCCAAATCAACTTTAGACAGCCTGTCCGTATCAGAGTGTAATTAGTAACAATGGAGTCATCATCTCTCCATTTGTGTCAATCAGTGCTGGGCTTCTGTCAAATAATAACAGAATGCTGGTGGTTCCGGTTAGATTATTAAGCATTTTGAAAGGCCCCTACGTCACACTTGGTCTAAAGTTCAGCACAGCTTGAATACTACAAGGGCAATATGCAGCCAAGTGAAACATTTACAAAGCACTTCCATAAACACATTTTTAGGGAGAAGACGGTTTACTTTTAGCTCAGACTCCTATAGCCAGAATGATTTATAGCTTTTGAATGTTCTACAGACTCAGAAAGAATCAGGAGAACGGAAAGAAACAGATTGTTTCAAAATGTAACACAAAGCTATCTGCAAAGTCTGAAAACTTTTTGTATTAAACCTTGAAATGAGACTCCATTGTGCCCTATGTCTAGAAACATCTAATGCTAATATGTTGCATTTGTTTTCTATAATGATATCACTGTTACTCCCTGTGTTTATACTACAGTGACATTCCAAAGGCCATGTTTTACGTCTTCAGCTTCCTCACTGTGTATGCATAGCAGAGCATTGTTTTTGGTTAAACAAGAACGTAAACTGCATTAATTATGGGGCTGAAGCCCTCCGTCACACATTCAAACTATTGATGGGGGGAAAGACATCTCTGCCGCATGGGAGGTCGATTTCCCACATAATTAAACTAGCTCAAATACAAATCCTGCAAAAAGGAGATTGTAAACAGAAATGTGTTTGAGTAGAAGGTGTGGCCACAGCTTTTGGAGACAGGTGCTGGAAATATGTTCCCGCACATCCACAGCTGTTGACATGTTGGGCTGTGGAGCACATGTTGTTAGCATCCCAATGCTCTTCAGCGCGAGAAAGTGCACCACAATCCAGTTTCGATGGGCTCTATTGTGTTGTGGCAAGCTACAGCTATTGCCTGGTCATATACACCACGGGAACAAAACATCTCATTCTTTTGGGGTGAACTGTCCCCTTAAGGGTTTTTCAACCTTAACTCTTGCATAGCCTTCTTCTTTCTATTGGATCTATTTCACCCTCATGAATAGAATTAGAACACATTGAATTCAATACACTGCTGGTTGTCCAGGCCCCTTCTCCACTACAATTGTTAGGGACATGTTGAACTTTTTACTCACAGCTTAAGTTACTAGTTACTTTAATTGTAATGCGTAAAAAAACACAAATTCTATATATTAGATTATAAATTCAACTAGCAAAATGTTGCTGAATTATTGAATAATGATTTTTTTTATATAAATAAATAACCAGCATTAATAATCTTTTATGTAATTTTATAATTTATTTATTATTATTATTATTATTATTATTAGATGTTCTTGAATTGGGTATATTTAGCTGATTATGCTTACTAACCGGACTGTTCCTTGTACCATAGTCTTACTGTGTGGTATCAGTACTTTTATGAATTATGTCAAATATCTGAATACTCCTTCCACCTGTGACACCCTCCTCCCTGCATAGTCTAGTGACTATAAACAGTAGGAAGTTTACTACAAACACATCCAACAACCCCCACCAGCCCGCCAACAAGGACGATCCCTCCCCTCTTCCCCTCTTCCCCTCTTCCCCTCCTCCGTCTGCCTGCGAGGTTTCAATGAACAGGAAGAGCACTTCATGGTTTCAGGGCACGTCAGGGTCATGAGCTAAGGTGGCAGCCATAGATAACAGATCAAACAGGGGCTAATAAGCTGTAGCTCTCCGGCACAAATATATATGTTATACTTCTTTTTGGGGTTGAGCTTTCCAGTACCAGCTTGAGTTTAGAAAACCCTTTGTCTGTTCAAGGACACAGAGTATGTCAGGGGCATTAGGTGGTTCAATCATTCATTTAAAAGCCTCTCAGTTAAACTTTATGGCGTTGCTTAAGATTTCGGTTAGGAACACTAAGGTGGGGCTTACTAGTGTAGCTGTTTTCAGTTCCTGGTAGTGCGTCTAATTAAATACAATTTAATGAATTTCCTTTTTTTTGTAATCGCTGATCGTTGCCAACTTGAACAATGAAATCTGACCTGAACTCTTAAGAGATCTCTCCACAAACATTTATTTTTTGCGTTTCTCATGATGATTAACGTATATTAATCCTTGTGACACTGTATGGGTGCTGCATGCAGTCAGTCAAGGACCTTTTTGAGTGTTGTAGAAGTGTGAATGTATGCTTAACACAATGGGTTAGCTTCATGAAACACATTCCAGTCACGGTCTTTTGACTTTCCCCCAGGTGAAAGGACTTTAGAATCAATGACATGGTATTTTTGTGCAGGGCATATTGACCTGAGACAGAGAGGGAAAGCCAAAGGATCAGTGGATTCCTCCCATTGCATTCCACTTGTTATCTTTGCTATGAGCAACCAACTTCTCTCTTGGGAAAAACACAGCTTCTTCTCTTTCGGTGCTAGTTAGTAAGTGAGGCACTTGAAGAACTAGTTCAGCTTTGGGTAATCAGTCACCTGCGGAAGTGGACTTTCACCTTTCTAGCTCTGATTTTATTTCTCCATGTCTGTCATTCACTATCTTGCTTTTTTTAGTTGCGGACGTCCCCTGTTTGTACTGTAAACTAATACAAGTTCTGAAGGGCGTTCGAGTCGTCCGCCCCACCTACCCGGGTCAGAAAAAAGCAATAGATGGGAGTAAAGGAGTAAGAGTGAAAGAAGAGGAAGGGAAGCGGTGAGAACAAAACCAGGAAGTTGAGCAAGAACAACCCCTCCCCTTTTGTCCTATACTCCTCCGTTACTAATGCCCACCCCACACCTCCTGAACACCACCACTCACCTGTCCAGTTTCCCCCCTTTTCCACCGCCTCCCCCCTCTCCCCCTTCCAAAGCTCCTCCTCTCGGGGCAGGTGAGCCAGTAGGCACTATAAAGGGTTGGCTAATGTGGAGCAACCTATCTTCTCTGCTCGGGGTAGTGCGGAAGAACAGGAGGCAGAGAGAGAGAGAGAGAGAGTGGTGTGCGAGAGAGAGAGAGAGGCGGAGTAGGAACATTGCAATTTTTAAAAAGACAATTGGATTGCCTGTTCTCAGACTTGCGTTGCAACCATGGGGCTGGGAGTAAGTATTGGAGCTTTGTCACATGCTTTGGACTCGTTTCTCAGATTCTTTAGGTTAAGATTAAGCTGGTTATGTGTTTCCCTTTTGAGCCTACACTCAAGTTTTTCTCTCAAGTTATTGCCTGAAGTACTTTTCCAAATTGGCTGTGAACTTTGAGGGAACTCTTTTAAATTGGAAACTTTTATGAGAGTTATTCACAGTCCTTCTGACAATGATTAACGCAGCTTGTTTGAACAGCAACGTTTACACTGCTCTCGGCTCTTGCAATATAGGAGGAAGCTGCAGAGCAAAATTACCACGTGTGCTCATGTTATTTTGTCTCACTTTCTTCAATTCAGCGAGGGAAAGAGGAGTACAAACTGGCAGCCACGTCAGATGGCGGGGACAAGACCTCCAAGAAAGCCAAGGCGCTTAAGAATATGGAAGAACTCAAGAAAGAAGTTGACCTGGTAAGTGAAAAAAAACTTTAAATAAACCTATAATTGTCCTAAATACTTGTGTGGAGCTATTTCAGTAACTCAAACCCTCAAACGTGTTTTAAACTTTCAAAATCCGTCTTCTAACTGAAATGAACAGACATTAAATAGAACGACCTTGTTGAACTTGAACAGCATGTCCTCCCGTTAACATATTTTGCCTGATTCAGACCATGTTGGTCACTGTAAAGCTAAATGTACGGTCACAGCCATGACACAGTCATGGCTGAGACAGACCGCTGCTTTGACCTCATGGCTAGTCACATGAGATGTAACCGTCTGCCCCGTATTTCATAAAGATTGCTACTTACACCCCACGCATGTACTGTCACATGTCATTAAGGAGTTCGCAGCCATACTTAACTTCTAAGTCATGCTTATGTGGATTAGTTTTCTACGCTTAGAGGCTCTGTTGTCATTATTTTCTTCAGTTTCTCCAAACACTCACTTTTACTGCCGCCTGTAAACGTTTATTATTCTGCTTCTTAGTTCTTTACAAACTCTTAGATCACGTGTAGTCATTTATAGCGGCAGAAACTAAAGTGCAGAGTTCGTGCATAGAGTTTCTGGTGGTTTCCTGTGTAAAACAGTCACCCAATTTCCACTGGTGTCAGCGTTTTCTCAGTCTGTATCTGAAGCTCTCAGAGGTCATTTCCCAAGGTCACTCTTGCATTAACTTCATCCCCTAGTTAATGAGAAGGGCTAATTAATCATGTCAAACCACTTGCTGTTCTGAAAAAAAATCATTTATTTAAGTTGTTAATAATGATTTAAGTTAAATTATCTCTACTTACTACTGTAAAGTTTACCAAACAATATGTTCTCACTTCTGTGTTTAGCCGTAAACTAAAGAATGTCCTCTTCAAGACAAAGCGTCTTTTAACTCCCATAGGAACGTGTCCTTCACAAGGTCAGTTCACAAAAGGCACATTCAGGTGTCATGTTCATCTCAAAGCTCGAAAGCAGACATTACTGAAAACTAGTGAAAGATTTGATAATAACATTATAATCCATTTCTGAACATTTTGCTGTATTATAGACTTGTCTTTGACTCTCACAAGGTCATCAGTTGAAGGGGCAGATTAATGCTGTCAGTTTGTGGCAGGTATGCCAAAGTACAACAAACTGCAATAACTTGGATGCTGTGGCTTGTGGCCAGTTTTAATACTAAGTGCAACTTTCTCCACATTCCAGGCTCAATGTCACCCAGCAGGTCACAGAGGACTGCAGGTTATTAGGCAGTAAAATACGCATCGTGGTGACATATTAATGATAATTGTTCTCTTGTTCTTAACTAGATCTCAAAGTCCTACAGCCGCTGAAGGACACCTCAATGCCATAGCAGCCGTATCGCCAATAGGCCATAACCTCCCTAGCATATCATTTACTGGGGTTAACAGCAGGCGGTGTCTTCAGTGACTCTCATGCATTGTTTTTCAGAGAGTTTGGAAAAATTGCTGATTCTCAGATTTAAGCTAGAATTAAAGAATAATTGACCAGTAGTAAACCAGTAATCGGTTGGCGTCTTTATGCCGACATGTTAATGATTATTGCACCATCATATTTGCGGCATCGTACAATTAAATGAGGTGACAAAGTCCAGCTAAAGACAACAGTAGCTATCCCCATGGCAACATAACGCTGTGATCAAATGTGACAAAGTCCAACATTAAATGCTAATATAGAATTTGACAACCTCAATAGTGTTTGGCCTTCAAGACATGATCCAAATATGAGCCGTAATAGTGATTTTCCTCTGTTGGCTGAAATAATGGCATGACGGGAAAAACTGCAATTTCACCAACTTCCTCCACTAATCTTGAGTATGCATGAATGTAAAGTAACTTAGTTCTTCCCTTACAGCTTAGGACCTCCCATTTTTACAATGTAAATGCATTTCTCATACAGTGGATGTGAAATATTTACCATAAAAGGTCAATGTAAGCTTGTACTTCAATAATACAATGGGTCCTTTAGTGGTGTGAACTGACGCCTCATTCATTCCCTCATTCAGTCATTCATTCATGGGGCTCCAGTAGAGCCAGGAACACATCACCCATCTTTCAGCACAGATCATGACATGGGAGTCAACAAAATAACCATGCTATATGTACAACAAGCTCAACATTACTTTACAATAATGATAACAATTTCCTACATGACACACGTAAATAATGATAGACTCGTTGTTAGGATGTAGCAATCTGTGCAGCTTAAAAACAGTCATGCAATACTGAGATGGAAAATTCCACACCAGTCTATCACAACAATAATGTTTCACTTATGTGAAGGTGGTAAAAACACTTTGGATGTTTCACTCTTTCGCATTTGGTATAAAGATCACAGTATGGCAAAAAAAGAAAGAAAGGTGGGAGTCAGATATTATTGCAGATCACCCAAATGACACGGGAATAATCAGTATTCATCACTGGCTGTAGGCGTTATTCAACAAACACAGTGTGGGCACGCCAGCTTCTCTGGTTGTTCGTTTGCAGATCCACCGCAATTTGAATTTTCATCCCCCGGCTCATTTCAAGATCAACAGATAGCTACTTCATTTGACGACTCTGGTATTGACGTGAGTTCGGCTTTACCCAAAACACACGAGCGCTACTCCGGCACACATCAGTGCATCAGTGGTTGGATGGTGTGTTTCATTCAGCAAACAGTTTGAATGAGTCCAAACGCAACCCAGCTTAGCTCTGGTTGTTTGGCTGCCACTTCTCTATCATCAGCTGACTCTCAACGTCTGCTTCAACTAATCTTAAAATCACACTGTACGGACCGGCGTGCGTTCCCTAATCCTGATCAGATGGCCCATTTTGCCTTGTCATCTTTATGTTCCCCCTGTGTCCCTCTGAAAGACAGGACATTTTTATAATCCTCAAAGGAGATAATATATGCATACTAAATGTCTCACAATGTCTCCCCCCTCTCCATAGGATGATCACAAGTTAACCTTGGATGAACTGCACAGAAAATATGGTACCGACCTTTCCAGGGTGAGTAGTCTGCATTTGTGTGTGTTTACTTTTTGAGTGTGTGTGTGTGGGAGCCACAGGGAAGATCTCCCTGTACAAACTGAGGTCAAAAGCACACAAATAGAGGCAAGGAAGATA